GAAATTCAAATCAAAACCACACTGAGATACCACCTTACACCAGTTAGAATGGCAAAAATTGACAAAGCAAGAAACAACAAATGTTGGAGAAATTGTGGAAAAAGGGGAACCCTCTTACACTCTTGATGGGAATGCAAGCTGGTACAGCCACTTTGGAAAACAGTGTGGAGGTGCCTCAGAAAATTAAAAATAGAGCTACCCTATGACCCAGCAATTGCACTACTGGGTATTTACTCCAAAGACACGTAGTGTCTTTGTCTTTACCCCAAAGACATGTAGTGAAAAGAAGGGCCATATGCACCCCAATGTTCATAGCAGCAATGTCCGCAAGAGCCAAACTGTGGAAAGAGCCGAGATGCCCTTCAACAGATGAATGGATAAAGAAGATGTGGTCCGTATATACAATGGAATATTACTCAGCCATCAGAAAAGATGAATACCCAACTTGTACATCAATATGGACGGGACTGGAGGAGATTATGCTAGGTGAAATAAGTCAAGCAGAGAAAGTCAATTATCATATGGTTTCACTTATTTGTGGAACGTAAGGAATAGCATGGAGGACAGTAGGAGAAGGAAGGGAAAAATGAAAGGGGGAAATCAGAGGGAGAGATGAACCATGACAGACTATGGACTCTGAGAAACAAACTGAGGGTTTTAGAGGGGAGGGGGGTGGGGGGGATGGGTTAGCCTGGTGATGGGTATTAAGAAGGGCACATACTGCATGGAGCACTGGGTGTTATACGCAAACAATGGATCATGGATCACTACATCAAAAACTAATGATGTATTGTATGGTCACTAACATAACATAATAAAATAAAATTAAAAAAAAAAAAAAGAAGAAACACTGGAGGCCAGAAAAGAATAGAATGACATTTTAAAGTGGTGAAGAATAGGGCGCCTGGGTGGCTCAGTTGGTTAAGCGACTGCCTTCGGCTCAGGTCATGATCCTGGAGTCCTGGGATCGAGTCCCGCATCGGGCTCCCTGCTCAGCAGGGAGTCTGCTTCTCCCTCTGACCCTCTCCCGTCTCATGCTCTATCTCATTCTCTCTCTCAAATAAATAAAATCTTAAAAAACAACAACAACAACAAAACAAAACAAAAAATAAAGTGGTGAAGAATACCGCTCTGATGGCTTCTTATCCCCCATAGGATAAAGGCTAAGGTCCTTAACTCCTATAACCTGCTATTGCTTACTTTTCTAGTCATCTTTAGCGATGAAACAAGAAAGCATTGGGTAGAAAGTAGATAGGCAAAAGCCACATATGAAATTGCAGTATGGTAACTTAGAAGGAATGGAGTTACATGTTCTTATGGGGTGGAAGTTGTCCCAGAGACTTCCTTCAGCAATATTGTGTAATACCTTTTCAATTGTGTAATACCTTTTTAAATGCAGGCCCCTCTATGTGGAAAACCCATCTCTTCTTTGCCTACTTATTTGCCTGACTAGCCTGACCATACAAATCCCCCTGTGGTTTAATGTCCCCCTATACATTTTTATAGCTGTATTAACTATATTAATAATAAATATATTTAAATCTCATTCTCTGACACTGGATTGAACTCCTTTCAGTTAAGACTGATCTTTAGATTTCCAGCACCTATTATAGTGCCTACCACAGAGTGGACTCAATAAATTTTTGTTGAATTAATTCCCATAAAAGCATAACAATACTCAGTCCAGAAATTAAATTTAGTTACCAGGGTCCACTAATTTCTATACTTCACAGTCAAGCTTGTGATTAGTTACTTCTTGTTGATTAGTAAGTAGGGCTTTTTTGTTGTTGTTGCCCTAAACAGTCCTACCTGGCAGTGATGCTAAACCAGATCATCCTCTAATCATTTCTAACTATAAGCTATCAAGTTTCCTGGGAAAGATCTTGAGACATGGAGGCTTATTTTCCCCTTCCTGTCTTCCCAAATCCTTTCCTTCAGGATTAATAAAGTGAGCTGCCTACATGTTTTTATCCTAGACAGATTAGCTATCCCTATCCAAAGCCCCGTTTCCAGTCCATAGGTCATAAGTTTTGGTCTAAATATTATTGTCACATGATTCTGGCTAGTCCCTGGGCCACTCAGCAATAATTAGCAGGGGTGATTCCCATTTTTGGTTTGAGTTCTGCTAAAAGAGGGGAAGAAGAAGCCATGTGAATGTTAATATTTGGAAGTTGGGGAGACAGGGTGTATGGAAGGAAGTCTCTGGGACAACTTCCACCCCATAAGAACATGTAACTCCATTCCTTCTAAGTTACCATACTGCAATTTCATATGTGGCTTTTGCCTATCTACTTTCTACCCAATGCTTTCTTGTTTCATCGCTATTTCTTTTTTTCCTTCAATTCCTTCACCTTTTCATATGTTTTTTGAGCTTTTCTTTTCTTTCTCTCTTTCTTTCTTTCTAAAAGATTTTATTTATTTATTTGACAGAGAGAGACACAGCAAGAGAGGGAACACAAGCAGTGGGAGTGGGAGAGAGAGACGCAGGCTCCCCACTGAGCAGGGAACCTGACACAGGGCTCGATCCCAGGACCCTGGGATCATGACCTGAGCCGAAGGTAGATGCTTAAAGACTGAGCCACCCAGGCACCCCTTTCTTTCTTTTTTTTTTTTTTTTAAATTTCCTGGTAAGAATGGGTGATGAGGAAACTTAAAGAAGGAAAACTAAAAGGAAAAAACATGTTTACAGGGAACTAAAAACCCTTTTAAAAGAAAGCTCTTTCCCTTATTTCTTCTATTGCTTAAATAGGTGGCACACAGTAGTCAAGAGATCTAGATCAAAATCTTGTGAAGGGTCTGTTCAGACCACTGGTTCATTCAAAATACGTATTCACTTACAAAATAAAATCTAAACTTACAACTTCAGCATATTTTTCTGGGTTTATTTTCCCCACTTACGGCAGTGGTATAAGCTACCTGATGGCAGGAACCACTTTACCTGTTGTATTTGTATAAACACCCCCAACCCATCACATGTTAAATATATAAGTCGAATTGAACTGAGCCAGGTTTTGCTAACAGTTTGTTGTATGATTTTGGAGAAACAGTTTTCACCTCTGGACAATCATTTCTCCAGCTTAAAAAATGAATATAATAGCATCTCAATCCATAAACTTTATAAGATGTATCAACAAATAAAACTATTGTATTAGCTTGAGCTGCCAATAACAAAATACCAGCAACAGAAATTTAATTTCTCCTGGTTCTAGAAGCTGAAGTCCCACATCAGTATGCCATCATGGTCAATTACAGGTGAGAGCTCTCTTCCAGGCTTGCACATGGCCCTTTCTCACTCCTCTCATGGTGGAGATAGAGAGCAAGCTCTCTGCTGTCTCTTTTTACAGGAACACTAATCCTATAGTAGTAGGGCCCCACTCTTATATCAACCTTAAGTACCTCCTGAAGGCCCTGTCTTCAAATACAGTCACATTAGGGGTTAGGGCTTCAACATATGAATTTTGTGAGGGGACAAACTCAGTCCATAGTAGCCATTATAAATATGCAAAGGAATTTAGACCATTAGAATAAATTTGAAGTTCACTTATATTATTCACTTTGGATGCTAATAATGGGATATAGACATACAGTAGCTGTTGCCCAGAGTTTCATGGTTTACTTGCCAGAGCCAACTTGAAGCCAGGAAGGGGTGGAAGGTGATCTGTGCTTGACCTTGTGGTCCTAAATAATGGCAACCAAACCACATACCTCAGAACTCAAATGAATAATTTTGAAGTTAGGGTGCCTGGGTGGCTCAGTTGGTTAAGCGACTGCCTTCGGCTCAGGTCATGATCCTGGAGTCCCGGGATCGAGTCCCGCATCGGGCTCCCTGCTCGGCAGGGAGTCTGCTTCTCCCTCTGACCCTCCCCCTCTCGTGCTGTCTCTCTTATCCTCTCTCTCTCTCTCAAATAAATAAATAAAATCCTTTAAAAAAAATAATAATTTTGAAGTTAAATGCAGAAGAATGTGAACCCTTGGGACTTACAGTTAGGCCAGGATTAAAGAAGGGAAAGGAAGCTGTATTAACACCTTAAACAATATTTACTTACCATCTATGTAGTTGGCAGTAGGGAAAAATACTGACATGGTTCCTGACTTAATGAGTTTACCATCTACGTGGGGATACGGACCAACTCAACAGCTTGTTTGGGGAAAATACCTGTGCTCCATGAAAAGTATCCAACCCAGCCGGTTTCCCTGAGGAGGCGACGCCTAAGCGGAGCCGAGCCACAAAGATGGTTCAGAAGGCATGAGGCAGGTTGAGGTGGGGGGCTGCAGTACTGGAGTGGGGAGAACCAACTTAGTGATGACCGGGCAGGTGGCTGGGACTGGGCCGCTAAGAATGGGCACACTTGGCACCGAAGGTCATTGTCCTCCTCACAGCATGGCTACCACAGCTGAGACTGGAAGCTATCCACGCACCAGGGCACCTGGAAGGCCCTTAGAGTCATCTTATTTCGGTTTGTGGCTCAAATTAACCGTACATCTTACATTTTTCTCTCAGGTTCCCATTTCCAGGCCTTTTGGTTTGTTTTTCATTTTCTCTCCCTGCCCCTAAAAACCTTCTGTTGGGCAAGACCCTCTTTAATGCAGAAACCAGGAAGAAGCTCCCAGAACAGCTGGGGCTGAACTAGGGAAGCAGTAATTTCTGCTGCGGAGTCTAATGTGGCGCTGAGGAGGAAGGCCCAAAGTAATCGGCTACAGCAACCGGAGAGGCAAAAACGACAAGAGCCAGGCCAGGCCAGGCACTCTTCACCCTCTCGCTCACTCTCCGCTGGACAGCCTCAGCTTGATCCACGCCCAGCACAGCACTTGATTGACAGGCGGGCCGGCCCAATCCGAGCGCGGCGCAGACAGCTCTCGCTTCAGGGATAGGAGAAAAAGGAGCGACTGAACCTATCGGATTGCGCCGGGAGGGGGTTTCCTGCCCGCGCGGATCCGCCCACGGCCTCCCGGCCAGTCGGCACCGGAGCCCCGCCCGCCCGCCGCGCGCGTCCCGCCCCTCTCCCGAGAGCTACGCGGCGGCTGAGCGGAGGCCTCGTGCCGTAACGGCCATCGCGGCGGCCGCGGCGGTCTCCCGGTGCCCTCCTCAGGTGAGCTGGGGCCGCACGGGCCCGGCAGAGGGAAGGTGAGACGGTCCTGCCAGTAGGCAGACGCACAGACAGCCTTTCCTCTCCCCGTGCGTCCACATAGCCTGTTACTCGCTGCGTTGCTTCCTCTTCTCCGGCGAAGTTAGCCCCCTGGGCGCCGTCTGCCGGCCCTGAGCTGAGCCGGAGGGGGCGGGGAGGCCGCTTGGCCGGGCCTGGGCGTTTGCATCGCGGCTCCGCGCGATCCTCTGGCCAGTGCCCGGGACCGCGCAGCCCCAGGCCTCGCTCCGGCCGGCCGCTCCTGCGAGGCTGGGAGGTCGAGTGTGCGGCGCTCGCGCTCCCGTTTCTTTCTCTCCCTAAAAAGTCCTCTTGTCTGTTGTGGCGTAATCCGAGGCGGGGGAAGGTAGGGACGTGGTAGAGGAGGGGACGGGCGCACTCACCTCCAGCCCTGCAGGAGGGGAGGGGGCCGTAACCTGTGCTGAGGGTGGACGTCCTTGGGATGCTCCCTGGGCCCCTCCCCCCAGCCCCAGCAGTTTCCCCCGTTCTCGGGAAATCGAGGTTAATTTAATCATACGGACCTGCTGTAGTTTCGTACGCTTGCTTGTTGCTTCGGCTGTGAGCTTTTGACTTAAGTGTAATATATCCGGTAAAAAAAAAAAAACAAAAAACAAAAACTAAGTAATGGTTTTGTGACGTTCTGTGGTGTTTTCATAAAAGTTAAATTTGCCGTTAGAAGCTCGGGAAGCTGGATTTTTTTAGGGCTGAGAACTGTAACATTATAGGCGCTTAGTTATTGTCGAACGGATGAGCTGGTCACCTAAAAATAATTTCACCCGTTAGATTTGGTAAGAAAACATAGGAGTTAGGAAAGAAAAGTTGAGAATTTCGAATCCCATCTTGGGTGGTGAGCAAAGAAGCTCAGTGTCTGGTCAAAACGGGTAAATGTTGCAAGAGGTATTCATTTTTAAAAGTCTTACTTTGGTAGATTGATGAAAAACGAACTGTACAATTTACTAAGCATCTGGAAAGCACTGTTCCTAAAATCTTAATCTTCAGCGAGGTGAAATGGGGAAATAATCCAAGAAGGTTTTGTTTGTTTGATAATTGTCAGTTATATTCAGTTCTTAAGTAGGCTCCCATTCACAGTTTGATAGTAACAAGGAATACCATTCACAGTTTGATAGCTACAAGGAATATGCATTGGTTGATTAATAGTAGTTTTCATTCCATCTTGATCATGGACTGTGGAATTTTCTTTTTTGGGAAAATTGTGATTTGGAGGAATTAGCTATAATATCAGTTAAACCCTATTCGCAGAGTGCTGGAGACTCAGCTGTGCTTGTTCACATATTAAATTTTAAATTGTTCGCTTTATTTTTCTGTGCATTATCTTTTAGTGCAGATTTTACCAGTGTTTTCAGGTCCATATAAATAAAATTTGAAGCATACACAGAATGTTTTGTTAGATACTGAATGGTACTTTATGCTTCTGGGTTTATTTTTATTTTGGACCGTTGAGGACTTTCTTGCCAAAAGCTCAAGGTAGATTTAATGTGATTATTGTTATAAATCACTTGTCAGGAGGACTTCATTTAATAAATACAGAATGCAGTCCATTTTTTATCATAGTATCATACTTTAATAACTTTTACAATTTACTTGCCTTTATAATATGGAAAAATACCAAATATTCTGTACCTACATCAGAAGACTGAATGATTTGTTATTTAGTCAATAAGTAAAATTGGAGGAAACTCGTGAAATCACTATAAGCATTTAAGAAATTCTTCATAAATACTTGGGTGTGCTGTTTTAGGAAGACAACTGATACTTATTTTAAAATATTTACAGGACGCCTGGGTGGCTCAGTTGGTTAGGCAACTGCCTTCGGCTCGGGTCGTGATCCTGGAGTCCCGGGATCGAGTCCCGCATCGGGCTCCCTGCTCGGCGAGGAGCCTGCTTCTCCCTCTGACCCTCCCCCCTCTCATGTACTCTCTCTCATTCTCGCTCTCTCAAATAAATAAATAAATCTTAAAAAAAATAAAATAAAATATTTAGAGAGTGCTGGCCTGCTCACTTGGGTGAGGGGGCGGGAGTGGCAGAGGGAGAGTGAAAGGGAGAGAATCTCAAGCACACTCCCTGCTGAGCACAGAGTGTGATTTGGGCATTAGGGCTGGGTCTCATGACCCTGAGATCTTGACCTGAGCCAAAACCAAGAGTTGGTCACTCAACTGACTGAGCCACCCAGGCGCCTCGGGAAGACAGCTGATATTTAAAGATTATTTAATTAAGGCAGTAATTCTATCTGGATGATCCTCATTTTACTGATTCCATAGGCTGACTTTGTTTTGGTAACATTACACTTGCAGCTACCCAGACACAAACCTTGGTTTTGTCTTTGACATCCTCTATCCACATATCATTGGCTAATTTTTGTCAGCCATTTTTTGGAAATTTCTTTGAGATATATTCCTTTCCACTAGCTTGTAATTGGGTTTTCTGCCTACCTTTTCTCTCTACTCATTATGCCCTGCCTTCCATCTTAATCTTAAAATTATGTTTCCCCATGTCCCTCACTGTGAAACCAGCGATAACTCCCTGTTATTTATAGAGTATACCTCAGAATTCCTAGTCTTCTAAAAGTCTGCTCAATACCTATTTTTTTCTTATGACAGCACTGTTTCTCTATGAGAGCTGACCATCCTAAACCAGTCTATCATTCTCATTTAGAGTTTGTTTTTCTACCTTTGTCTGTTGAGAATTTGATTGCCTATGCATAGCCTGCCTATTCTTTAAAAGAAATCCCTTCCCCCCCGCCCCCAAGTTTCCAAAGTAGCAAATGAAGTCATATTTTGTTGAAGTTTCATTTTTGGTCCTGAATTCAGTGCAGCCTTCCAGATCTTTCTGTTCTCTGTATTGTTACTTTCCTTTGAGCCTGTTGCCCTTACTGTTTTATCATTCCTTTGGTTTTTTTTTTTTTTAAGCTTATGTGGACTTGTGTCATAATATCATGGAACAATACTGTGGGAACATTGGAATTACAACCTTTTGTTTTATAGGTAAGGAAAATGAAAGCCATACAGAATAACTACACAAAAATTCACACATCTAATGATGGTGGCAGAGCTGAAACTCAAAGCTTGATTTCCTAACTCAAGGTCTGTGTATTCTTTTTTTTTTTTTAAGATTTTATTTATTTGAGAGAGTGTGAGCGCACAAGCAGGGTGAGGGGCAGAGGGAGAAGCACACTCCCCGCTGAGCAGGGAGCCCAATACGGGCTCCATCCTGGGACTCCAGGATCATCACCTGAGCTGAAGGCAGACGCTTAACTGACTGAAACACCCAGGTGCCCCTTGGTCTGTGTATTCTTTAAAAAACTTTTTTTTCCTATGTATTTCCTAAGAAGCTATACTATATATATATATTTTTAAAGATTTTTATTTATTTGGCAGAGAGAGACACAGAGATAGAGGGAACACAAGCAGGGGGAGTGGGAGAGGGAGAAACAGGCTTTCCGCTGAGGAGGGAGCCCGATGCGGGGCTCGATCCCAGGACCCTGGGATCATGACCTGAGGCAGACGCTTAACCAACTGAGCCACCCAGGCGCCCCTATACTATTTTTCATCTCTTGCAATGCAGTTTTTTTATTGTTTGCTTCACGTTATTTTGCATTCTGTATCTTTACACCTTCCATACATTCAAAACTTGTATGTGAGGGCAGTGGGATCTTCATAACTTGGATTGTTTAAATAATTAAAACTGATTTAAAGTCTTTTTCTTTGCTTGTTAGATGTATTAACAGCATTAACAAAAATAATATTCTCATCTCTATAGTGGAGTCCGTGATTCATTAAAAAGTGAATGGATCTCTTAGAATTTTTACTCCTGGAGTTTAGTTTGTTTGAATCTCTTAGTTCAAAGAGACTGAATATTTGGGTACTTTCAAAGTAGATGTGAACATTGCAGTGGTTTGGAGGAAACCTGCAGGGTTTATCCCATAACTAAATTTAATGATCCAGCCAAATGTTCTTTTTCTCTTTTAGATTCTTAGAACAGCAACACTTTTACATTTTGCTACTTTGCCCTCTTATTCATCTGTCAGAAACCTGATTATTGAGCAATCTGTTTATTGAGCAAAATATTCTGAAAACATTTGTTCTTTTGGGAAGTCAGAGAGCTTTTATATATTTGCTCTTGACCTTTTTTTCCTCTTAACTCTAAAGTTTCTGTTATAGTGGCAACATAGGGTTGCCTTGGTTTTTGTTGTTTTTTTACACTTACGTAGCAAGAGTTGAGTAGTGGAAGATAGCACAGAAAACTATCAGGTGAAATATTTCTGGAAGAAATGTTTTACCCTTTGGGTTTTAAACAGGTTAGAAGCTGTTTTTCTATTTTTGGGTTGTTTATAATGGCTTGTTTTTTGTTTAAGTAAATAATCTGCTAAAATAAACTGTTGAAACACTGATTCTCTCATTCTTTATTCCTGAAATTGTATTTAAGGATTGCTGAGTTGGACGTAAGTATGGTATGGATAATTCTACTTTTCTTGAAACAGACCAATCGAATAAAGCAGTGAGATTATGGCTTTTAAAAAACGGATGCATCTAAAGAGCTTTTTTTGTTGCTTTTTAACAATCAGCCTTCCAAAAATTTCAGTACATATTTCCAAATCATGTTGTATTTAGATAAACTCAAATAATTGATATAACAAAGAATTTAATATGCCCTGTATTTTTTGAGCATTCCAGCAAAACAAAAATTTATATTTACCACAAAAACATTCTATTAATTAAATGAGACTTTGGAAAATTTTCCTTAGAAATTCTTGATCGCTTCCAGGTACTAAATGTTCTTGCATGATAACATTTTTTATTTTTAGAAACATTTAGAATACTTTGTGTACAGCCCCTTCCCCCAGAATTCTGCCCTGGGAAGTCAGTTACTTTAATTTTTCTATGGATTTTTTTTTTTTTCATTTCTTTTCCATATTTTTTTCTTCTAAAGATTTTATTTTTAGGTAATAACTGCACCTAATTTGGGG